AGGACTCCCAGAATCCCTCAGCCTGCCAAAACTGTTAACTCCATGTAGACTAAGGAAAAGGGGAGTGGGGGTGTCCTCATCAAGCCTCTTCACCAGCTGGTCCCAAGAGAGTGAGAACGCCCTGCCACCCAAAGCACCCTCTCTGTGGCAACCAGCCACCAACCCATCAGCACCCTCTGGACTTCGGCCCGTGGACGGGCGGCTGCGCCAGCTGGTCAAGCCTCCCCCTCCCCACCCCGCCGCTCGCCCCCGCTGGTCCAAGCTGCTCCAGACCTGGCTGGCACTCAAAACCTGCCAGCACGTGACGGAACAGAGCAGCCTGAGCCGTCTGGCTCTGTGGAGAGAGAGATCCGAGGTCTCTTCGCTGGTCTTCTTCCAGGGAGGGGACAAGCCCCCCAACCGCGGGCTCTGGGCGTCCCTCCAGGCTCGAAGGGAATCCACAGGGCGGGTTTAGGGGCAGGACTGTCAAGGCCAAGCGGAAGCAAGGATGCCACCCCTCACTCCAAACACAATCACGATTTGCTTTCGCCGCATGTGAAAGCCTGGGTTCTCAGAGCTTTCTGTCCTAACTCACCTGACGGATGTGGGAGACAGCCATTGGTACCCTAGCCCTGATCCCAGGGAGATACAGACAAAGAGTTCCAGAGTGATGGGGCAGAACTTCAGGAAGGGACTGGATGGAGGAAGAAGACAAACCCCACCTAGGGCTACCTGATTTAGCAAATAAAAATACTCAGTGTCCAGATATTTCTGAATTTCAGATAAACAATGAATTTTTTTATTTGGTACAGGCTTCTACTAAATAGAGCTTATTTGAAATTTTAATTTTACTGACCATCCTATATTTTACCTGGCAAACTTAGCTAGCACCACCAGCAATTCCAAAGCAGATCTGCCGTCTTTCCCTCTGTCTCTCTGTCTCTCTGAAAAGCAATACTGCAAAATTTCAGACGGTGACTGCAGACATGAAATTAAAAGACACTTGCTCCTTGGAAAGAAAGCTATAACAAACCTAGACAGTACATTAAAAAGCAGAGACATTACTTTGCCAATAAAGGTCTGTATAGTCAAAGCTAGGGTATTTCCAGCAGTCATGGATGTGAGAGTTCGACCATAAAGGAGGCCAAGTGCCAAAGAATTGATGCTTTTGAATTACGGGGCTGAAGAAATCTCTTGAGAGTTCCTTGGACTGCAAGGAGATCAAACCAGTCAATCTTAAGGGAAATGAACCCTAAATATTCATTGGAAGGACTGAAGCTAAAGCTGAAGCTCCAGTATTTTGGCCACCTGATATGAAGAGCTGACTCATTAGAAAAAACCCTGATGTTGGGAAAGATTGAAGGCAGGAGGAGAAGG